TCCTTTAGATGGCACGTGTATTCTTCAGTTTGTCTTGGTGGGTGCTCCTCATTGTGTGTGTGTTGTAATAATACACAGGTATAAGGAATAAGTTAGACATGGGATTTTACCTGCTTTCAAGGGAATGGATGAAAGGAAAATTGACTTTGTTTTTCCTTACCTGTGGTAAGAGGTGGTAACGGTAAATCCACTAATTATATATTTAATAAATGAGATTAAAACAGTATTATAAGAGTTTTCTGTCAATTGAGATTTTTTTTTTGGTATGTATGAATCTTTACACATTATGCAGTCCTTGGAACGTGCTCACCAATACTTGTGGATCCAATTTAACCATCCATCTGATAAATAAGTCTTCCTTCTAACATTCTCATGAAGGATATATCTCCAAAGATCAGACATTTATTTCTTTTTGAGGCAACATATTTCATGTGGCATTCAGAATCCCAGGACAACATACTGTTTCTGATTCATATTATTTTAAAATTTGAGATATAAGTAGTATATTTATGTTCATTTCAGGTATACAACATAATAATTTGAGATTTGTATATGTTGTGAAATGATATCCACAATAAATTTAATTAAAAGTAACATCAATTACCAGACATAGTTACAAATATTTTTCTTGTAATGAGAACTTTTAGGATCAACTTCTTAGCAACTTTCTAACATAAAATACACTATTAGTGACTATAATCACCATGCTATTCATTACAGTCTCAGGATTTATTATTTATTTTTTAACCTTCTCCGCTCAGGTGGGAGTGGGGTGGAGGAAGTTGGTAAAGCTAAAAGCCCCAGTTATAAAACTGAGATTATTGAACTGTAGTTTGGACATGTCTGTTTATACATGTTTTATATAAAGTCAGTTTTACGTGCTCAAGTGACTTTTGAACGTGAGGTGAAGATGTTCTGATAGTGGTGGTTAGGCTATGTGACCCTTCTATTAAAAATATATTTATTGTTTGTAATAAGAAATTCTCTGTCCCCCAAATTGTCGATAATAATTAATTGCAAAGATTTTATTTCTTAAGACAGTTGCTCAGGATAACAAATAAAGTGACCAAATGAAACAGAATTTTAACGTCTTTGTTTCTATTTATGAAAAATGGGAGCACTTTCTAAGATCTTTTGAAGCACTCATAAAACTGATTTAAATTAGCATTATTTGAAGGTAAAATTAGTAAGAAATGTTATTCTGTTCTGTATCTTGCAGAAATATAGCCCTTTACTGCCCTGCTTGTCAGTGAAATATGTTCGATATATTTTTAGTTAAGTATATTAATGAGTGGTTTTATGTTTTTCCATTAAAATCCCCACTAAAAAAGGGGAAAATGAGTGCTTCTCCTGGCTGTTTTAAACAAGAGCTCTCTGGGCTTGTTCTTATTTAGGGTCCATGCCCTTGGGTTTATATGCTCAAAGATGACATGTGGGAACTGATTATACTTCTCTTCCCTGGAGGTCCATTGTGCAGAAGTGCACAGGGATCAGATATGGCATGCCTGCTCCAATTTGCAGTTCTTTTCTTTCTCAGTGACCACATTAAGACTGCTGAATTTTGTGTTGTTTTGGTCTTTAGTTAGTGCTATACTATGGTGCACCTTGCAACTGATTTGGGCATTTGATTTACTTTTATCACTTGTTTTATTCATGGGTGATATTAGAGTTTTACATGTTTATAGAGGCAGAAAAAGAGTAATGTAAATCTTTAGTTACGATTAATTTGGACTCAGTCCTTTTGTGAAAATGTTCAAGTATTTACAGAAGGATCACCAGGATGTTATTTGGGGAGAGCTGTGAGAATTGTCTTGATAATTACTGAGTGAAACTGCAAGGCTCAAATCCTTGCTTTTTTTTTTTTTCTTTTTTTCTTTTTTTTAGTATTAAGGATAAACAAAGGAAATCTTGTAAAATTTGGCAGTTGAGAATGACCAATTTTTTATAATTTGTTATATTCAGGAGACCTTTTATAGGCATTATTTGAAAGAAATCATGTGGTATTTGTCTTACACATGAACAAAATTAGATTTTCACTCTCTTATTGCTCTGGCTTTATCATTTTTGTTAGACTTTTCCATATTTTTTTGGAACAGGTATTTTTATTGTTCTAACAATTTTTGAATCTCTGATTATGAATGAAAATTAATTCCCTGATAAGTTGCTCTGAAATTTGACCTATTCTTATTTAATGTATTTTGGAACTCATTGGTTGAACTTGCCTGGTTGTGGTTTTTGTTTTTACAGTACCATCTATGATTCATAGAGGTATTGGATTATATTATTTCAGATGCATGGTACCACATCACACCAACCACCAAAGCACCCATAGTCCTCTACCAATAATCTGATGACCCCCTCCTCACTTTGCTCTCCAACCCTGGTAGCCTCAATTTTTTCAGATTTCTGAGGTTTGTTACTGGTTTGGTTTTTCTGAGCTTTTATTTCTCTATATTTCTCAGATGAGTGACACCATCTGGTATTTATCTTTCTCTTTCTGACTTAACTTTGCTTAGCATAATTACTTCCAGGTCCATCTATGTTGTCACAAATGGCAAGAGTTGAGAATTTTTTTTTTAATAGTGGAGTAATAGTCTGTTGTGTTTAATATACAATGTCTTTTTAATCCACTCATCTGCCCTCAGGTGTGTAGGTTGCTTCCATAACTTGGCAGTTGTGAATAATCCTGCAGTGAACACAAGATACATATTTCCCTTTAAATTACTGTTTTTGTATTCTTTGAGTAGAGTTACTGGAATGTATAATAGATCTATTTTTAATATTTTGAGAAACTTCCATACTGTTTTGTATCCCCACCAACATTGCATGAGTATTCTTTTTTTTCCTTCACATCCTCACCATGTTGTTCTTTTTTATGTGTTTTGGTGAAGAACTTAGGTGACTAAAAAACTGATTTATATAGACGATGGCTTTTATTTGCAAAGTATTCTGGTCTTAACACTGCATCACTTTATTTTGGGGGCCTTTTTTATGTAAAATGGAATAGGTGAGCTCGCTTTTCTAATATCTATTCCAGTTAATCTAGCATCTTAGAGGTTTTTAATTCTAAAGACCTGGTGTTCCAGAAAACAGAGTATTTTACTAATCATTACATATTATTTTGTCACTGTAGAAATTTTGAAAGTTGTGTTTTGTAATTACTGCATCGCCCATATTCACCCATATTCCTTTGTGTACTGCTGTTTAAAAAAAATTGTTTTCAACTTATAGTTTTGTCTCTCATTTCTTCTCCATCTTCTAGCCAAAATGTTTTAGGTTTTGCCTGTAGAATGGGCTTCACACTTTCTTACGTCAATGTTTTTGCTTATACTGTTTTCTTTATACCTGTTCTCTTTCCCATCTGTCAGCTACTTTTGAGCCCCCATAACGTTTTGTTTATAATTATTTTGACTTTGTAAAATAGCTGTTTATATAACTGCTATGCTGCATATGAGAATATAAAATTCTTGCAGGCACATGTTTAATTGTCATCATTTTACTGTCCCTATTATTAATTCACAAAATACTTGTCATATAAATAGGGACTTAATTAATATTTGAAAAATTGAATTATAAGATGACTAATTGAAATTACAGATGCAGTCAATGCCTGTGAACAGTGAAAAATTAACAGGATAATAAGGAAATTAACTTACCCATTTTGAATTAAAGCAATATTTTAACTATCTACACTGCAGACATTTGTATTCCATGCCCATTAATTCTTATTCACCTAAACATTTAACACTTCTGTTTTCCCTTTGTACCCACTTAACTGCTTGCCTTCATTCATCATTTTAGTTTAGCACTGCCATATGCTTAAACTTTTAATAGTATCTAATTTTGTTAACACGCTCTTGCTTTGATTTATATACACATGTTCTAACTTTCATCTCCTTGTACTTGTTCGTAGACTTATCAAGCTTAATTTAATCTCTTAGTGCTTTTTGGTTCTCTCCTATTTATATATTTTTTTACTTGTTCTTTTACTTTGTGAGAAAGCATTTATTCTTTGTTTGTTAAAGGCATATGCCCTTTTGTTGCTCTCTCTCTGTGAAGTTTACATTGACAAGTGTCTTAGAATCAGTCTGCTATTGGGATTAATGGTAGAATTGCTAGTTATCAGGAATGAAATTGAGTTAGCTCTGTAGGGTTAGCACTCCTACATTTTTTTAATGGGAGACTGTCTTAAATGGCAATGCTAGTACCAACCCTTTGTTAATGGAGTTGATACTGATCACAAAAGATGTCAGATGCTAATTGACATTTTCACAGGTGAGTTGATACTTGAATTGTAGGATTTATCAAAGAATTTCAAAATCATCTTAATGATACCCCCCTCACCCTTCCATGATAAATGGATGGTTGACTTTGACTGGATAAAAGAACAAAGGGCAGTGAGACAATGAGAACAAAAACTGAAAAAGAGAGGAAAAGTAAAATATATATGTATCAAAAATTTCCCTATCTTTGTCACTTGGAGTCATGAACATTTATTGATTTGGGGGAACATTGGTTAGGAATGATGAGAAGATTTTGGGGAACATTGATTGAGAGATGAAAAGATAATGTGAGAAAGTGTCACAGAGGAATTTATATTGAAGTAAGCTTAAAACCAAGTTCTTTTTAGTTCTGTTTTTTATAGCATATCTCAAACTCTAACGAACTTACTGTATTGCCAGATATTTAAGGTACATATTATATTTGTATAATAGTAAAGGTTAGCCCATACATTCCTTAAGAAGATGTTTAAATAGATTTTCTCAAAAAGCATACAGCTAATGTAACACAGTCTCACTTAACATACATAAAAAAGAAAAATATGCACTGTTCCTTCCTTTCTATCAGAGATAGTAAGTAAATAGGAATTATCCTGAACTCTTTCCCTCGTAATTGTAGTGAAAGTGTTTGAGTAGAGAACAAAATTGCATGTAGACTTAAAATAATTTTCATTAATTTTGATTTTAGAAAATGTTAAGCCATTTATTTTATTTTAACAGGTTTCTTTCAGATGAAGGCATTGAAGCTTGCACAAGTTCTCCTGACAAAGTCAATATAAATGACATCATCCTGATTGCTCTCAATGTAGGTTATGTTTATTAACTTACAAAACATCTTTAATCTGGAAGCTATGGTCATGAAAAGTGTCTCATAGAATAAAATGGATTTTATGATAAGTAATATGGAGAACATTTTTCATTTTTATTGTCTATTTAAAGTTGTAGTGATTGTTGGATTTGGTAATTTCATCAGCCAACTACTAGAGATAAATTTTTTTAACATCTTTTACATAGAATCCAATGAAAGAAGGGGGAAAAGCAATTAAAATTGCTTTTTCTAAACCCAGTGATCAATTATTGCATTTTATTTTGTTTACAGTAGCTATAAAATAGTACTAAAAACTGATCATTTCATTAAAACTAAATGCTATTTAATTTGTGCAGAAACACTAGCTAGGTTATTGTTTTTTGACACTTGTATTTATTACTTCAAAATATTGATATAAGTAACATGTATTGTGGAAGTCTGTAAATAACCAGAAAAACAAAATAAGAAAAAGCTACTTATAATCAATGATAATGTTTTAAGAGTATGTATATATATATATATAAAAAATATTAAATATATACATTTCTTTCCGACTTCTTCCCCTCTACCTATGGAGATTAGCTTTCTGATTTAAGAGATAAAAATAAAGATTGTTTGAAATATAGATGTGGGTAAATGAATATTCTTTTTTCAACCTGTGATTAATCCCTGTGGAAGTTTTTTTTTTTTCCTTTATAATTACAATCTATTAACAATCAAATTTATATAATACAATACATAATCAGTAGCATCTATAAGAGAATTACGTCTGATAAATGCATCATACCACTACAAAATAGGTTAATGTAAAGCAGAAATTGCAGCAATTGAATGAGCATTGAAATATATATTTATGTAAGTATGTGTAACTTTTTCTTTTCAAGTAACATGTGTATTTTTATAATTAAGCTTGGATTTAAAAGATAAAATTTGTTTTGAAATCTGTCCTTTTTTCAGCTTCTTTGCAGTTGAGTTAATAAGACTAGTAAGATATTTTTTTTGTTTCCTATAAGTACTTAAGTTCTTAATAAATAAGGCTATAAATTTTTCTGTAGTAAACATGTTAAAAATTATGTATGTTATCTATGACCAGAAGTGAAAATATTTCCTAGACACTCTTCTTTAATTTACACCTAAATGGTGAATTTTACTGTCAAAAATGTTATAAAGAACTCTTTGAAGATGATAGGAGAGATTTTATGACAGTCTTTGCTTTTCTCTATTTGTCTTATTTACATAAATAGTAATGAACTAACCTAAAACTTTGTTACTGTCATTTGGACTTGAGGCTTAGTTTTGCCTGGTATAGGTCCAGTTGGTGAGTTTTAGTTTAGAAGTGATACTTGTACTACATTTCAATATTTGGATATTTCAAATAGGACAATATTCTATTATTGTAGGTGTGCAAAGAAAACTGTTCTAGTTTTCTACTATGTGTATGAACATCATTTCATATTACAGTACTTTTAATCATCGTGTGTGTTCTGAAGTGTAACATGAATTGCTCCCTTATTACCTATGTGATTAAATGCACTCTAAATCTGTTTTATTTTTCTCTTAAGCTGGTGAAGAGTTACTGTTTACTATATTTTAGTGAATAACAAAATAATACAAATTTAGTTATTAATTTAATATATTAAATCACTAACATAAAAGTAATTTCTTAAATAATTAGGCCTTTTTCATGAGTGAGGTAATAATCCTCCTGTATTTTTTTTTTTTTTAACCATTAAAGGTTTTTCATTTCCTGAAGAGGACACAATTGTTAAAAGTTAATGCTTTTTATGTAGACTGTGTGGTTTTGGTTTTATACCAGAAGTGGTATAACTTTGTGTTAATTTTTATGATTTCCTTTCTATGTTTTGCTGACTAATGCATCTTTATATAGCTAGTCATTTGTTCACCTACTACTTTTTCTATATTTGTTAAATGAAATTAATTTTTACTACAGTAAAGTCTTCTGACTCCTTGAGGTGGCAGCAGTATTGTTCAATAGATGTTTGTATGCTATAAATTTGTTTTATATTGAGTATCAGAGCATATAGGAAAGTGTGTCTTCACATCACTGCATATCAACATTATATAGAATTTAGTTGTTAAAAATGTGCCTTTTTTATGTATCAGAAGTAGTCATTTGGTTTTGAATTGTGGAATTTATTTTTTAGTAAGATTGTAGTTTATGTAAGATCAAGTTTTCAATTTTAATAGAGAATTTAGTAAGTTAAAAGATTACCCGAAAATATGACTAGAATTAAGGCCTTATGTTTTATTGTACAACTTAGTGGTGTATTTTAAACAATGTGTGTGTGGGGTATATTATTTGAAATGATTATATATATAGATCTCATAAACAGTCAAAAGGCATTTATTTAAATTTTGTTCCACAGACCTTAAGTATCTCATTTTTGTTTGTGAGTGAGGTTATATTTACTTTTCTCTATAAATATATTTTAATAATATTATTTTTATTTTAGACAGACTTGAGAACAATTGGCAAGAAATTCCTCCCCAGTGACATCAATGGTGGAAAGGTAGACAAGGTAATGAAATGTGTTGATGTCCTAAGTTATACAAACCACAATAAATATGAACATCTATTAAATTACTGCAATTTTTTTTTTTGTCAATAGAAACAGCAACTACAAAATATTTGGAGGTAAACAGGTCACAGAGTCATCATAGTGACTTTCTATATACGTGGATATACATGGAAAATGATCAAGATTTAAACTTTTAATCTTCTGGTGATTTTTCAACTTTAAAAAAACTTTGTTTTAGGATTTATAACCATGACACACTTTCTCTAAATGCAAGACTTTTCAGATGTTAGAGCTCAGGACAAGAACTTTTTCATACATTTTAATTTTAGTTTCCTGTTCCTAAGTTTATTTATTGAACTTATTAATTTAAAAGTAGGAAATTGTGGGCCTCCCCGGTGGCGCAGTGGTTGAGTGCTGGGTTGCGAAGCTGCCTGCAGACTCTGCAGCGCTGGTTCAATTCCCAGCTGCTCCCCGGGCACCGGGAGAGGGTCCCACAAGGCGCACAGACCTCTCCTGCTGCCCTCTGCTCCCCTCAGCAGTGTACTTCGGTCCTTCTGCCTGCTCTGCTCCCTGCTCTGGCTCTGGTGAATTCTCTCACCCTCCCGCGCTTCTCATTGTACCCAGTGCTTATATAAATTTAAAAAAAAAAAAAATCTTAAAAAAAAAAACAACTTAAAAAAAAATAAAAGTAGGAAATTGTAAGAAATACTAGGATCAATTTGGCAAAGCTGTCCATTTGGTTATTGTTACCATTTTTGCATTACAGTTAAGTATTCATGTTACAGTTTTTTTTTTCAGTGATCTTTTTAAAGTATGAGGATGCAACTTTTAGATAACAACCATTCTTTTGTATTTTATTCATTTATATCCATTTTCTTCTTTTTCTTACAAATGCATATAAACTGTGCCAACCAAGAATTTTATATGCGGTCACTTTTGGACTATTAAGGAACATCATTATCTATAGTTTAAAGAAATACTTTCAATATGTATGTTTTGTATTTTAATAATGTATTCTTAATCAACACTGAGTTATTTTAAAGTTATTGTACCTCAGACATTTTAAATTTAGATGATTTTAAAAGCCTGGAACATAGTAACATTTTCCACATTTTCTAAATACTAATACATTTATGCAATGCATGATACTTACTGTAAAGAATGACAAGAGTCTCTAATCTACTGCAGGTTTTTAAGAAGCTACCCAGAGATAAAGGCTTTTCAGACTCCTTAGTAATTCATTTGAGTGTTTAACTCTATTCCATGTCTGCAAACTTTAACCTAAATTCTTATGCTGCACCTTGAAGTCTGAATGTCTTCTTTATCTTCCCTCAGGGGAAATGGAGAACATCTGCTTACTTCCCTTGTGAATAATTCTTTATATACTTGAAGACCTGGAAATGTCACTTGTACAGGTTTCTTTTGGCTGTAGCCATCTATCTTGGTTCCTTTATTTATTCTCAGTCTTAAGCTTTTCATTTACCTTCGTTGTTCTCAGAGTTCTATCCAGTTTCTCAATTTTTTTTTTTTTATTGTGGTGGTAGTTCTCAGACTTCATCGTACACAGGGATCATCCTAAGGCTTGGCTAAAAGATTCTGCCCTGCCCTAGCTTCTGATTTCATTGAATTGGGATAGAGCCTAAGAATTTTATTTTGAACTTGTTTCCGTGGTTTGTTAATTTACTGGTCTAAGTAGCATACTTAGAAAATAGCTAAATTACAGAACCTCAGATTAGGCACCAATCTTATGGGTCTAGAGCATGCAACAGTTCTTTACAGGAAAAATAACTAATATCAAAGCAGAGTCTATGTATCATTATACTGATTTATTTGATAAAATTTTTGAAACTTTCTGGATTACTGGTTTTCCATTTTCTCTGTGAATATTTTTTTTTTTTTTTTTAAAGATTTTTTATTTATTTATACAAGCACTGGGTACAGTCAGAAGCGCAGGAGGGTGAGAGAATTCACCAGAGCCAGAGCGGGGAGCAGAGCAGGCAGAAGGGCCGAAGTACACTGCTGAGGGGAGCAGCGGGCGGCAGGAGAGGTCTGCGTGCCATGTGGGACCCTCCTCCGGTGACCGGGGAGCAGCCGGGGATCGAACCGGCGCTGCAGAGGCTGCGGGCAGCTTCGCAACCCAGCGCTCAACCGCTGCGCCACCAGGGAGGCCCTTCTTTGTGAATATTTTTAGAACTTCTGAGAACCCACCTTTGCTTAACAGATCATTGAAATGGTACTGATGAGACTTTTCTCTGCTCCCTCCACCTCCTCAAAGACTTTTTTGCTTTAAAGTTTTGAATGTAACTAACAACAATAAAAACAACTTGAAACTTTTGAATCTAGAATTTTCTCTGCCAAATTTTAACCATTCAAATATTCTTACTGGTATTAAGACTTGAGTTTATATTTAATAAGCATATACAAAATTAGCCCTTTTCACATGAAACAATCCAATACCCCTTCTGCTCTTCAATTATATTTTCTTTACTACTGCTAACATCAAATATAGTTCCCTTCACAGTATAGTGAAGATGTTTTGAAAGATAATTTTAATAAAAATTTCGGAAGCTGACCTATAGGAATTGCTCATTTTATTTGCCTTTATTTAAAACTTCATGCATTATATAAAAATACAGGCATTTTTAGGATACAATAAATGGTTATGGAATATATTTTTGATATGAATAGCATATATTTTTGTTTTTAAAATAGATAAATGCAGTAAACGTTACTTTATGTGTGCCTTATTGGAATGCTGTATTAACAAGCATTTTACTGTGTTAATGGTAACTATGTCATTATAAACACATGGCTGCAGTCACTAAACTATGTTATAATTAGTTATTGTTTAAAATAAATTTTTAATAAAAAAATTAAAATTTGTTATTGAGAGATCTGCTGGGAAATTTAGCGAATGTTATTATAAAGCAAATAAACACTTCATTATTTTATTTTATTATTTTTTTTGTGGGACCCTCTCCTGTGGCCAGGGATCGAACCGGCGCTGCAGAGGCTGGCAACCCAGCGCTTAACCGCTGCTCCACCAGGGGAGGCCCTGCACTTCATTATTAACTCAGTTATCAGTGACCCCAAGCCCTATTGTAGAACTGTTAACTTGATCTGGGTAATCTTAGTGTAATAGAATCAAAACAAGCCTAAAGTCCTGTTCTCAGTAATTCTTGTTTAGTTCCAAGCCAGCCTATGATATTACCATTCCTAAGAGAAAAAGCCGAAAGAAAAGTGGTAAGAGAGCTTTTGCTCCAATATTTAAGTAGCATATAGTTAAGAGGTAAGAGGGGGAAAAGGAGACTGCCATCTTAGATGCTGCATCCTTTACTTTTGTGTGGTTTCTTTGAAACAACCATGTGTCTTAGAAACCTATTCTCTATGCCTGATGCTCAAAACATTGTACTTACACATTCCCCAATACAAAACAGTCATTCTCTTTGGAGGTAGGTTAAAGGAGTATAGAGAGGAGTCTTCAAACTTCCTCCCCTGAGAGGCCAGAAGTGAATGTTTACATGGTGTGTGTTGTTATTATTATTACTATTAGATAACATTTTAGCATTTAGGGATTGAGATTGAATAGGAAGAATGGAAAGCTGATAGATCTCTGATCAGGGAAGAAAGATTTTAGGTCTGTAGTTAGGAGAAAAACTTTTACCCATAATACGTTAAATCTATAACTCTTTTGTTCTGAGATAAATTTGGGGCCTTCATTAGGCATTATCATCATGAGTTTAAAACCGAAGTCTCAGTAATTGCTATTAGTTATCACTGATTGTTTTGGGAGAAAAGTAGAATGGCAAAAAGTTTAAGTAACTATTAATTTAATAAAGTTTTTTGCTCATGTTCTTTTTTTCTTTCCTACCATTCTTTTCTTAGCATTATTTTGCAGTTCTATTTTCTCCATACGATGACCCATTACTTTGACACAAAGGTTTCAGACAAATTAAAAAAGAGGTGAGATTGGAAAAGATCATTGTTTTTTCTGGAATTCCAAACCTAAGCTACATTTTCCCAAAGACAATTTATGTTTGATTTTTATCTCAAGATTGTGTGGACGAAAGGATGTATGATGCGGAAGCCATATTTTGCTTTTTTTTTTTCCCAGAATCTTTCAGGATAGTCTGCATTTTGTAGATATTATACGATCCTGACTATGATGGCTTGTAAGCTAAAATCATGGTGAAAAGTCATGACAAAAAATGGAATAAACCATACTTTCTATAAACTTTTAAATATTTTTCATATTTTCTCTAAGTGTAATATTTTGCTATAGGAATTTTTATAACTTTAGCTTCTGAACCAAGGTGTAGAAATTATTTTTTTTGTAGAAATTATTTTTAAAATAGGGCCTCCCTGGTGGCGCAGCGGTTGAGCGCTGGGTTGCGAAGCTGCCCGCAGCCTCTGCAGCGCTGGTTCGATTCCCAGCTGCTCCCCGGCCACCGGAGGAGGGTCCCACATGGCGCGCAGAACTCTCCTGCCGCCCGCTGCTCCCCTCAGCAGTGTACTTCGGTCCTTCTGCCTGCTCTGCTCCCCACTCTGGCTCTGGTGAATTCTCTCACCCTCCCGCGCTTCTGACTGTACCCAGTGCTTGTATAAATAAATAAATAAATAAATAAATCTTTAAAAAAAATTATTTTTAAAATATAGGTTAATAGAAAATTACTTTGCTGCTTGAGAACTTTAATAATTACTATTGGAACCCAACCATAAAGGCTTTCAGTTCTGTGTTTATTTTTTTCTATCTAAATTCTGTGACTGACAGGTTGTATATACTTTTTTGAATAGAAATCTGTGATTAAAGACCTGTTTTTTCCAAATGGCTATGACCTTCTTAAGTTATGGGCAATACCAACATCAACCACAAGATGGCTTCACTGCCTTAAAATTTGAAGTGCGTGAGTGCTCACTCTAATAGTCCAGAAATTAGATGGTTTAAAAAGTAAAATAATTGAAAAAGCTTTAAATTGAGTTTAAAGTAAAATGTTACATAT